TAGAATTAGAATCCACGCCACAAAGAGCGTGACGTATCAATGTGTATTTTGGGCTTCTGACAAATTTTTGGAGCCTCCTCGGGTCAACATTCTCAACCCCTAAAAAGTCACATAAGGCCCTCCTATCCAATGGTATGTCCTTCCCGCGTACATGTGACCTAGACAATTTGTAATTCCAATTGGCGTACAATTCCCGTACCATGCTCAAATTTGTAGGGTCCAGGGCATTCTAGGAGTTTGTCCATTTTTTATGCGCGCAACCGGCCAAGGACATCCGGGAAGTTTTGTTCCAAAACTTTGACATTTATCCCCATCTCGGAGACATACCTCCCATATGGCACGAAATCCCTGTGCCACGCAATAGCTGCATCAGATACTAGTTTCAAGCAAGGCCTTCGTGGAAATGGAGCCTGCTGTGATCCCTCAGCAACCTGTTTCGCTTTAGCTTGCCGCGAAGAACCTTCTCCTTGCTTGAGCTTTTTGGGCGCGGGGGCGGCGGTGGAAGGACTTGCCTTTGCTATAACTACCACGAGCCATAATATCCTACAACATAAATAAGCACGGAAGTGAGAACTCATCAAGAAATATGCCTAAGGTTGTCGCGCAAGTCATAAATGACCCCACACTTAAAACAGGCGCAATGTACAATACTTCACAATTTTGATCTAAAATGCTCAAGTGTTAAACTCCAAAGATATGGGTACTCAAGACTTCCCCATGCAACACAATAGTTAAAAGTCACTAATAAATGCCACACACATAAGTGATTGATTATGGCTTAGTGAATTCACCTTAAGGCAAGCAAGAGGCATATATTACTCACCTCTCCACAACTACTACACTAAATTAGCTAAATTTGTAACATTCTACAACATACATCATATAAGATAGAATGTGTAGGAACATGTTTGCATCAAAGCCAAGCTCCCTGGCATGTAAAGTCATCCCCATAAACCCCACACTTAGCCCAAATTCATACACAAATATACTCGGTTAATCAGACTGTACCAGTACACCAAAATCTTCATTCAAACATTTTAACAAACACCTTGTGGGCATAAAGTGTGTGCATTCTAGTTTAACAATGGTGGAACATGGTGGCGCTCCCAAATTTCAACGAAGTAGAGGGAATTCTAGTTTACTACTCCGTATACACAATAACCAAATAATTTTCGATCAATGTGGATCACCCACCATAAAAATTCATCAAATAAACTACATAAGGGAATTGAGGCTTAGGGCACTTGGGAGATGGGATGTACATTGTTGTCTACCAACTAAAACACAAGAAGAAGAAGAAGAAGAAGAAGAAGAAGAAGAAGAAGAAGAAGAAGAAGAAGAAGAAGAAGAAGAAGAAGAAGAAGAAGAAGAAGAAGAAGAAGAAGAAGAGAAAGAAGAACAAACCTGTAGAGCTTAGGATGAGAGCAAGAGAAAATTTGAGAGAGGAGAAGAAGAGGAAACTCGGCAGAAGCAGAGGAGAGAGAGTGCATTTGGGTATTTTTGGGAGGGAGGTGTTTGAGTTATGTTTTTATTCAAGTTGTGGGTGGGTATGGGTAATAAGATGGGTTTTAATGTGAGAGTATATGGGTAGATAGGTTGGGTTAATGGGTATGGGTTATTAATCTACTAAATAAATGAAAAATTAAAAAAAAATTAATACTTGGCCACCCCCCAGCCCAGCGCTCAGCGCTATGCCTGGCGCTGGGGGATTTTTGCATACTATCGTTCAACGCCCCTGGTAGTGCTAGGCGCTGGCCTGGGCGCTGATTTCGATAATTTTTTTTATACATCCTGATCCCCTGAGCCTTTTATATACCCAATTTACATTTCCTACACCATTCTACCTATAATTTCTATGCCTACAAAGAAAATACAAACTTTATTCTACTCTAACTAAAAAAAAATTAATAAGCTAAACTATGAAAGCAATAAAAATTGGGTTGCACCCAACAAGTGCCTGATTTAATGTCGTGGCACGACGCAGGGCCTCGCTTGCTCATCATCAAGTACAACTTTGGTCTTCTCCCGATCAATCATTCCTCCCCAATATAGCTTAGAATTTTCATAAGAGTGCAGCCTGAACTCATCTAATTCATTCAACTGCAAGAGTCTTTTCTCACCCGCGGCGTCAAGGTCCATATTCAACTTCTTAATGGCCCAATACGCTTTGTGTTCAAGTTCAACAGGCAAGTGACATGCCTTCCCATAAACAAGCTTATAAGGCGACGCCCCAATTGGCATTTTGCATGCAGTTCTATACGCACACAAGGCATAATCTAACTTTGCAGCCCAATCCTTTCTATTCACACTCACCGTCTTCTCTAAGATTTGCTTTATTTCTCTGTTCGATACCTCAGCTTGCCCACTTGTTTGAGGATGATATGTTGTAGCAACTCTATGGAGGACTCCATATTTAGCTAGAAGATTATTCAACAACCAATTGCAAAAATGAGTCCCCTCATCACTAATTAAGGCACGTGGAGTCCCAAACCTCAAAAATATGTTCTTTTCACAAACACAGCTACCACCATGGCATCATTTGTTGGCAATGCAATTGCCTCCACCCATTTTGACACGTAGTCAATTGCTAGAAAAATGTATTTGTTTCCTCTGGACGATGGGAATAGTCCCTTAAAATCTATCCCCCACACATCAAAAATCTCAACTTCCAGGATGTTATTCAAAGGCATCTCATGCCTCCTTGTGATTGTCCCGTTCTCTGACATTGGTCACACTTCTTAACAAATGCATGGGCATCCTTGAATAAAGTTGTCCAAAAGAAACCGGATTGTAATACCTTTGCAGTTGTTCTATCTCCTCCATGATGGCCTCCATAAGGTGATGCATGACAATCATATAACACTAATTCTATCTCCTTTTATGGAATGCATCTCCTCATCAATTAATCAGCACATTGCTTGTAAAAATATGGCTCATCCAAATAGTTGAAGTTCACATCATGTAGAAACCTCTTTCTAGCTTCATATTTAATTTCAGGAGGAAGTATCCCACTCACAAGATAATTCCCATAGTCTGCGTACCATGGGGGAGGGTCTTGGGTGATAGCAAAAAGTTGCTCATCAGGAAATACTTCTTTAATTTGGCCACCCTCCTCCACGTGGTCGTGATTTTCCAGCCTTGATAGATGGTCAGCTACTTGGTTCTCTGTGCTCTTTCGATCTCGTATTTCTACATTAAATTCCTGCAACAACAAAACCCAGTGCATCAATCTAGACTTGGATTCTTTTTTTTGTAAATAAATACCTGATTGCTGCATGATCGGTACGGACTATGACTTTTGTTCCCACCAAGTATGCCAAAATTTCTCAAAGTCCCACACAACAGCTAAGAACTCCTTTTCAATATTGGTGTAATTCAGCTGTGCATCATCAAGAGTCTTACTCGCATAGTAGATGGAATAAAATACCTTGTCTTTCCTCTGGCCTAGCACTGCCCCAATAGCATGGTCACTCGCATCACACATAAGCTCAAATTGTAAGGACCAATATGGTGCCATAATAATGGGAGCAACCACCAACTTCCTTTTGAGTTCTTCAAATGCCTTGAGGCAGGCACCATCAAAATTGAAAGTTACATCTTTTTCAAGCAACCTGCACAAAAGAGTAGCAATTTTAGAAAAAGCTTTAATAAAGCGTCGATAGAATCTTGCGTTTCCCAAGAAACTCCGGACACCCTTCACAGAAATAGGTGGAGGTAATTTTTCAACCGCCTCCACCTTCGCCTTATCAACTTCAATGCTGCTCCTAGACACTCTGTGACCCAACACGATGCCTTCCTGCACCATATAATGGCACTTTTTCCAATTCAATACCAGATTTATTTCTTCACAACAGGCCAGCATCTTGCTCAAATTCTTCAAACAATCATCATAAGAAGACCCAAAAACTGAAAAATCATCCATAAAAGCTTCCACAAATTTTTCCACTATATCAGTGAAAATTGCCATCATGCATCTCTGAAAAATAGCTGGTGCATTGCAAAGACCAAACGACATTCGCTTGAAGGCGAAAGTGCCATAAGGACAAGTAAAAGTGGTCTTCTCCTAGTCCTCTGGGAATATGACCATCTGATTGTATCCCGAATAACCATCATGGAAACAATAGTATTCATGCCCAGCTAATCTGTCCAACATTTGGTCAATGAATGCAAGTGGAAAGTGGTCCTTGCGGGTTGCTTTGTTGAGCCTTCTATAATCAATGCAGACTCTTCACCCCGTCACAGTGCGAGTAGGAATTCGCTCATTTTTCTCATTCACAATCACAGTCATTCCCCCCCCCCCCCTTTTTTAGGCACACATTGAACTGGGCTTACCCCGTTGCTGTCAGAAATAGGGAAGATGATACCTGCATCAAGCAACTTGATTACTTCCTTCTTCACGACCTCTTTCATAATGGGATTTAACCTCCTTTGCTGCTCAACACTAGGGCAGTGTCCATCTTCCAAGAAGATTATATGCATGAAAAATGATGGAATGATTCCCTTGATGTCAGCAATTGTCCACCCAATAGCCTTTTTATGCTCGCGGAGTACTCTGAGCAATTTTTCTTCTTGAGTGTTAGTCAAGCTGGATGAGATAATCACGGGCAATGTCTCAAAGTTCCCTAAATAAGCATAGCGCCGATGCGCTGGTAGAGGCTTAAGTTCTAGCTTTGGAGCTTCTTCAATAAATGGCTTAGGGGTCTAGTGACAGGCCTGTCCAATTCCTCAAATTTTCCAAACCCATGAACATAACTGCAGGACATACAAGTACTTGCTCAATTTCTCCCATCATTTCATCTTCGTTGTCTTCTTCATCCCTAATCAAAGTTCATTCTAGAGGATCTATAGTGCTCATATAAGGCACTAATGATGTAGCATCACTTTCCACCACAGAAATCATGGATAGCTCTTCATAGTGGGCTGGCAACCTGAGTGCTTTATAAATATTGAATACCTCCACTCGATCACCTACTCTCATCGTCATCTTTCCTTCACAAACATCAATAATAGCTCAGCCCGTGGCTAAGATGTCCCAATATAAATGGGACTTCCTGATCAGGCTCATAGTCCAAGATAATAAAATCAGCAGGGAATATGAAAGAACCCACTTGAACTAACACATCTTCAATCACTCCTTCAGGATGAGCAAGGGAACGATCAGCCAACTGTAAGATTACCGTTGTTGGGCGTGGCTCACCCAACCCCAACTGTCTGAACACAGATAGCGACATCAAATTGATGCTCGCTCCAACATCACATAAAGTTTGCCCGACTGCATGCTTACCAATCGAGATTTGGATAGTGAAACTACCTGGATCCTTCAATTTCTGAGGTAGCTTACTTTGAATTCTTGAGCTACATTCCTCGGTGAGTGCCACAGTTTCGAACTCGGTCAGCCTCCTTTTATTTGCCAATATGTCCTTGATGTATTTGCCTATTTGGGCACTTCTTGCAAGATGTCTACCAATGGACTATTAATTTGCACCTGCTTCAAAATATCAAGACACTTTTTATACGCGGCATTATCCTTCACTTTCTGCAATCTTTGAGGGAACGGAGGTGGTGGCCTCACAACCAATGGTGGGGGTTACTCAGCCACCGCCTCTTCAGCTGGCTTCTCTGACTTCTTTGATTTTTCTGATGTTGATTTTATAGTATCTGGCCTCTCATTAAAAGTTACCTGTTTTCTCTTTCTCGACTGGACTTCTTATAATTGTCTCCCATTTGTCAATGACATGGCATTAAGGGATGCCTTAGGATTAGCTTCAGTCTCACTTGGAAGAGCTCCAACTGGTCTAGTGTTTCGGGCACTGGCAAGTTATCCCACTCGGCGCTCCAAATTTTTCATTGCTATAGCTTGGGCCTGCTGGTCAACCATCACTTTGTTTATCATCTATGCGGTGTGGGCTTGCTGGTCAGCCATCAATTTCTTCATCATTTCCTCAATATGACTTGTTGAGATTACGTGTTGTTCAGTTTGAGGTGGTCTATATTGTCGTTGAGGTGCTTGTGGTCGGTATTGATTTTGAGCACCTTGATTTCCACCCCAAGATAAGTTTGGGTGGTTCCTCCAGTTGGGATTATAAGTGTTCCCATATTGGTTTGTCTGGCCCCTATTTGCATTACCCACAAAGCAGACAGACTCCGGATTAACTGGTCATAAGTCGCTTGTGTAACCCTCTCCACATACTTCACAAAACAGTTGAACCTGTTGTACCGGTTGTGCTTGTTGCTTGTTGATAATCAATGTCATCTGATTAACTTGGTTGGTCGGTGTAGAAATTTGCGCTGATAATGCCGAGACGACATCTAACTCGAGAACCCCTATAGATTTTTGCACCATGTGTCTGCCCATTTTTCCTGGCCAATCCGGATTGCTTTTGGAGAATTTGTTCAATAATGCATATATCTCGTCAAAGCTTTTCTCCTACTTGACCTCCAACTACAGCATCTACCACAGTTTTTGTTTCAGGATGGAGCTTTTCTTTGAAAGTGTGAGCTAACACTTCGTTTGTCTGATTGTGATGAGGACAGTCTCTGATTAGCCCCTTGAACCTCTCCCAAGCTGAGTATAAAGACTCTCCCGCTTTTTGTTTGAAGGAAACTATCTCACTTCTGATCTTTGCAGTTTTGCCTGAAGGGAAGAACCTTGCCAAAAATTTCCTTGCCAAATCATTCCATGATGTAATAGAATTAGCTGGTTCTGTCTTCAGCCATCTCTTTGCTTCGCCCAACAGAGAGAATGGAAAAAGTGTGAGCCTTACATAGTCTGGAGTGACCCCGTTAGTGATATAAGTATCACTAATCTCCAAGAAGTTCAGGATATGCTGTTGTGGATCCTCATGTCGAAGACCCATAAGCTGCCCATTCGCATGAAGTAGCTGGATCATGCTCCGTTTTGGTTCAAAGTGCCCAGTGATTCTGGGATTCACTATGCTGGAGGTGACATTAGCAATGCTGGGCATCGCCACCTCCTGCAAAGCCATTTGTTGCTCCTCTGCCATGTTCACAGGAAATTGAACGAGTGTCTGAAGATTATTTGTATCCCTTGCTTCACTCAACCTCCTATGAAATGTTCTCTCAGGTTCAGGCTTCTGACCCTACGCATTCAATCAAAGTTCCTGAGATCAGAGCAATAATCAAGTAATGTTAGACTTGACGAAATAAAAAATTAAAGCAAAAACTAGAGAGTAGTTAATATTCAAGTCCCTGGCAGCGACGCCAAAAACTTGTTCCTCCCAAACACACACGCAAGTATACGTGGTCTTACAAGTAATAAAATGATAAGTCGAGTGTCGAACCCATAGAGACTTGTATCAACTACCCACTAAAATCACCTAGATTGTTATTCAGTCAAGCCAAATTCGAGTTCAAGAATGTGATTATACTAAACTATAATTCTAAGTGGTAACTAAATTATCAAAAAGTAAAATGATTGTTATGTATTCAATAGAGACAAATATTCCAGGGTTGTGATTGATTCACCAATCCTATTGTGTTCTAGTTAACTCTCCCTTTCCTACAATACACTCATGGTCACTAATGAATCGATAATTGCTCTCATAGCCTTCTCCCGAAGTACTACTCGCCTATTCAAAATAGATTAATGCCTATATTCCTATGGAATCAATCTGTCAAGAATTCATTAAGATTACAATATTTAATTGAGCATGGTGACTAGGTATATTCCTATCCTAACCACAAATCCGCCCCCTAAGAGTTAAGATCATGCTCTCTTCAATTCTTCCCTAATCTAAACATGGCTTTCCTAAGCATAGCATAGATAGTAAATAGAACCTAAATGCTGGCCAGGCAATTAAGCAATTAATTACAGAATTGAAGAAACAACCATATATTAGTGAACTGTAATCAAGGTTAAGTCAACGTTAAACAACAATATTCATGGCTAAATCACAACCCCAGAACTATGGGTTTTAGCCACTCATGATAATAGCAAACAATTTCATAAGTGTTGGATTACTGAAAATACTAAGAAAAGATGAAGAAAATGAGATGTCTTCGCTCCCGGATGTTTCTCGTGTGTATTCTCCCTTTAAAGTGGCATCTCACATCTAAAAATAAGCTTAGTCTTGCTTTTATACGTATTGGGTAGGTCTAGGGCCGAAATAACCTTGTCCCGGGCAAAATTGGACAAACTTCATGCCACCAGCGCCCAGCCCAGCGCTAGGCGCTGTCCCTGGCGTTGTAAATTTGGTGCATACTATCTCTAGCGCCACAGGTAGCGCTAGGCGCTGGCTGTGGCACTGGAAATTTCCTCTTTTGCTTCTTCGTCCGTTTTGGCTCTAATCTCGCACCTTTCGCCCCCAATTGCTCCCGGATCATTCCTACACATAAAAACACCTCAAATTAATATAATTCAACATATTTTATATCCTAAATCCATGAAACAAAAGTAAAACATGAGGCGATATACATATAAATATATATACTTTAAGCTAAACATCATTAGTTCTTTATTAAATTCTTTGACCAATGGAAACTCTTGAAATTCAGTTTTCACTCGTTTTATATGGCCCCTCATATAACATATTAAAATGGAGTAAAAGGTGAATTTTTTTGGTTAAAGATTAAATTTTATCAACCAAAGTATCAAATGTACACCACCTTGGGTCGGGTCATACAAAAATAACCAAGGGATAACAACTATCTTCCTATTGCTCCATAGCAAGCTATTGTGTTACTCATCTTTCAGGAAGGATCTAGTCCTAGTCGCTGCCCCCAAGCTAGAACATTTTGCAAGGGTAACTATCTAGTTTCTCTAATATTTGTTGCCATTTGTGTTGTTGTTGCCCAATAATGTGCAATTGTAGTGCTATTTCCCTAAGTCTATCACAGCTTTCTCGCCTAGTTTGTTGGAATCTCCTGTTGTTTCTTTTTGTGCAGATGCATGTGATATACTGTTGCTGCAAATAAGACCTCAATACTACTCCAGTTGCTCTTCTGTTAATTCCTTTCTAAGATAACCAAGCTACTTCATTGTCCCAATGACTGATCTGTCTAGTGATGCTCATCCACTTCAGTAATTTCCCCCATATATCCTTAGAGTATGGACACTCAAAGAATTTGTGATTGTGTCTTTCATCAGTGCTTGTAGAACATAATACACAGGCATTTGGTACCTGAATGCCCCATCTAGCAATCAATCACCTGTTGCAAGCCTTTTATGAACTGCCAGCCATAGTATGAATAAGTGTCTAGGTATCAGGCCCTTGCTCGCCACCAATAAGTGTCTATATTTGGATTTTCACTCACTTTTTAGTATTTAAATAGTTTTTAAGTTTAATCTTAATATTTTAGTTTTATTTCACCTTTTTTTTAGGTTTATTTTAGATTAATTGAAAACAACAAAAATAGTTATAATTTTACATATTAATTGTGTTCTTTTTCTCAAAAGAAAGAAAAAGGTTTCAAAAATATGTTTTTAACGGGTCTATATCTTTTTCAAGTTAAGGATTTTAATAAATGTATTTTGAGTAGTTAGCATATTTTATCTTTCTATATTAATCAAGTAGGAGTAGTATTTTATTTTATTAACTAAAAATAAAGAAAGAAAAGAAAATCAACAAAAAAAAAAGGAGAGCTAATGAAGAATTGTCAAATGCCAAAGATTTCATTTTATCTCTAGTAACCAACTCCCACTCACATGCCACTTCCTTGGCAATTTCTCATTAATTCACATAGTCTACACATTGGATTCTCTTCAACAAAAATTACCGGCACATTCCTTTTCGGATTCTCCCACGTTACATTTTTTGGCACACTTTCCTCACAAGAATTCATCTTTAGGTCTCCATATAATAGAAAAGTACACACACACACAAGAGGGGAGGAAAAAGCAGAGAGGGGGACACGGATAAAAAGAGCAGACAGACCACCCAAAAGAAGGAAAAACGGCCGCCAACCCCTAGGACATAAGAGTCAGCCGCCCTCAACTTCTCGAAAAATAAAAATACCCCCTACGAAATTTCCTCCCCAGCCGCACACCCTCCAAATCGGCGACACCAGCAGAAAAAAAAAACACGCACATATACAAAAAGTGCTCGACACACACACAAGAGAAGGGATCTGGATAAACAATGAAAAACAGAATAGAAGGGAGAGGGAAAAATCGGGGAAAAGAAAAAATTTTGAGAGGATTTTGGGTAAAATAAAAAACGGACAGATCTTGCTATGAAATTTTCCTCCCTTCAATTTCCCGTACCCAACGTCTCTGCGCCTCCATTTTTCAGAGCCTTCTTCCTCTATAAAAACCAGTCCAAAGGTCCCATAAACCCAGCCAAACAAGCCCCCAAAAATCAATTGAAAATTAGCTTCAAAACAGCCACGAAAACAAAGCTCCAAAAGCCTTGAACTCAGCCGAAAAATAACTTCAAATACCAACCCAAGAAAGTCGAATTTAAGTTCGCCTATGACGTTTTCGTTTGCGGCTCCAGTGGCGGTCCGATTTGTAGCTGTATACGTAAGAAACCATGTGGTCTGTTACTCATTTTCAGTTAACATACTCATTCATGGGGATTCATTTTAATCAGAAAAGTTTCATTCTCGAGGTCCGCTCTTCTTTTTGCATACTGTTATTTTAGTCCATTTTTCTTGTCGTTTGTTTGTTCTGTGTTTTAAAGCTTGGTGGTTTTGCCCTCTTGATTAAAACCTGTATGTGTGGATTTGTAGTTGGTCAATTTTGTGGGCGTATCGAGTTGTTCTAT